ATGTCAGGCTGGAGACTAAGGTGTGCCTGGTCCAGGCTATAGTCTTCGCAGTTATGTGATATGCATCAGAGAGTTGGACAGTTAATAGGGTTGATAAAAAGAGGATTGATGACTTTGAGCTGTGATGCTGGAGAAGAGTGTTGAATATACCATGGACTGCTAGGAGAGCAAACAGGTTTGTCCTGGAGAGGGTGAAGCTGGAGTACTCCCTGGAGTCAAGGATTCTGAAGCTTTGTCTAACATATTTTGGGCATGTTGCAAGGAGGGCCTGGTCCTTGGAGAGGGACATCATGTTTGGCAGAGTGGAGGGGAGGCGAAGGAGAGGAAGACTTTTGGTGAGATGGATCGATTCTGTGACTGGAGTGGTGGGAATCAGTGTATTTGAGATGGCTAGGTTGGCACAGGATAGAACAGCATTTAGAGCTCTTGTACATAGGGTCGCTATGAGTCGCAAGCGACTCAATGGCACATAACAACAACAACAACAACAACAACAACAATTTCAATGAAGATTTACAGAGACTTTGGATTTACATTCATTCATTGTTGCACTTTTCTCCCCGCTAGTACACTACCATCTTGGAAAAGTAAAAGAAAAATTCTTTCATTGTTTTACAATCCCTCCCTCAAGTCCACTCTACTATACAGTCTTGGCGCTGGACTCCTGCCATGACAAAAATACCTAATCACATATCCCTTTTTAACAGTTTTCTCCCTCATCTGTTTCAATGCCTTATACATTACTGAACCCATCTTTCTCAGTCTCCCCCTAACCCCTAGGTCAGTCCTGTTTTACAACAGTGGAACTATGCTGTGGAGCTTCAATCTGTACTGAAGGCTGCAGTTCTTGACCTTCTGCAGAAAATGCCTCAAGGCCCCCTCAGTTTTGGTAGGCCTCAAAAACCCAATGATAGGGTGTCATGAGTCATAATTGATTCAATAATCATGGGAGTGATCTTAAGATAGTGCTATTAATTAAGTTACATACAAATAAACAGTGAAGACACACATGCTTAGAATGAAAGATCAGGAATTTGAGAGAGGATCCATACTCATCCTATTTGCACATATAATTTATCCTAAAAATGAACATCTATAGTAATATAAATGGCATAATGCAAACATTAAACTAATATATGTTAATGTTTCACAATTTGTAGAGCTATGGAATATACACATTTATTGTGTAAAACTGAAATAGATCATAAAGATTCTAATTTACGTTCAAATAAAGGGACTTTTAGAAAACATCTTCTTATGAACTTGTTAGTAGAGAGGAGAAACTTAGAAACTTTGATTTTTCATAAATTATGGTGGTAAACTATCACTACTGCTTCTTTCATTTGAGGAATTATAACGTCTTTGAAAAGTATATGATAGAGTTCTTGTTTCTTGGAAAGTGTTATGAAGAGAAGTGTTTGCTAATAACCAAAGGCTGCTGGTTCTTTGATTAATGTCCATTCACCCCTTTTATGTAGAACCTATATAATGGATGTAATTATAATGAATGTAGTGGGAAATTATAAAAGAATGTCAGCAGTCAAATAAAACTAGGAGTCTGAATCATGTTTTACCTTGTAGTTGAAATTAATGGTTGTCCACATTTTATTGGTATATTATTCATGATTTTACTTAATAAAATTGAAATTTGGAACTAAAAAAACATAGTATTTCTAAAGTCAGGTTTAGCACAAGTTTCTTTCAGAGGATCTGAAATTAATAAATAATTAATAAATATCAATGCTCTGACATTAAAAATAATTACATATAATATGATAATTATGATATAAATGGCAAAAGGACTTGTCTAAAATTCTAAAGTGATGATTTTAAAATACAGTCCAATATAAAGATATTATATAAAAATTGACAGTGGAAATAATACCCATTATCATAATCAAAATGTGCCTTGAGAATATCTTGTGAGTTCCTTTTACTGAATATTTAAATGTTATTTTTTTCATTAATTTCAAATCAGACTGACTAGGCTGACTAAGTGGAGAGTAAGAGAAAGAGAGGAAGATACTCCACCAGATAGATTGGCACAATGATTGTAACCATGGGCTCAAGCATATCAGAAACTGTGAGGATGGGTATATGGTCACTATGATTCATAGCCAATTTAATGACACCAAACAATAACAACAAGTTGAATAACAGAGAGCTTTGGAGGCTTAGTAGAAAAGGAGCTACTTTTCCAACCAAACGGTTCAAAATGGAAGGCCTGAATCCACCAGCTGTTCCATGGGAGAAAGATGGACAATCTCTTTTTGTGTGAATTACAGTCTTTGAAAACTCACTGGGGGTTAAATTCTGAGTGTACTCAACTAAGGGAGCTCTGGTGGCCTACTTAGTCTGTAGGAAGTCCCACTGCTAAACCCATAGGCTGCATCTCTCTGGTGGTTCAAATCCGCCAGTCACTTCATGGGAGAAAAATGGACACTCTCTTCTAGTGCAATTTACAGCCTCTGTAAATTCTCTGCAAGGGCAACTATGAGAGCGTTGCAACTTGATGGCAATAAGATTTTTTGGTAGTTTTTGTTTTGATTTATTTTTAATAGTTAAGTAAAGAGAATAAATCTTTCTTGGGAGAACAAAAAGAATGATACAGTTTATGCAATTAACACAGTGATTTTTGACAAGATACTGTGTGCTGATAATCTAAGGACTGCAAATTGTAAGATCATATAAATTATAGTCCCCCTCTTATTTAGGTTTTCATATACTATTTTTAGTCATAATTGACTCAATTAAATCACATATGGTATTGAAATATTATGCTTTGCAAAAATACCATGTTTTTTCCGTTTTCCATGCCAATGCTTCCATTCCACAAAAAGAATTTTGTAAATGTGCTGTATAAAGTAGTGATGCTTACCACTAAAATATACCACAAAGTAATCTATATATTCATTTGGTAAAGTTATGCTTTTGGAGAGTGTGGTGGAGCTCCCCGATTAAAATAATCTTGGAAGGAGGAGTGGCATCCACTTCCATAATAGCTTGCCTCTGGAAACCCTGTGAACCTGGAGAGAGGATGAAAGGCACCCAAACGACGAGGACTCTCCTTCATAGAGTCGCTATGAGTCGCCTGCGACTCGACGGCACTTAACAACAACAACAAACAACAACAACATATGCTTTTGTGTGTGTCTACCTACTGTATTCTATGCAAACAGCATAAATCTTTAATGTTTATTTGCCAGCCATATACTTCTCTTAAAAGACATTTGTAAGATCCACTTTGCTATTTACCACATATACTAACAATACTTCCTGGAGGTGTAGAATAAGCTGAGACACAGAGACTGAAGACATGGATTCAAGCACTACATTTATCACTTAGTAGATATATTATTGAAGTAGGCTATATTGTTAGGAGTAGATATTTAACTAATGCCAACCACATGAACTACATTTTAATCATGCAATTTTCTAACTAATGTCCACAAACATATTTTTTTCTGAAAGTAAGAATTGCTTAAATACAATTATTTAATGTTTAACTGAAATGATTTAACTTTTCCTTTTCTGTAACCAGAAGAATATAGTAACTTTAAGGTTTAAATTTGGTTTGATCCTTAGAAGAACGCGATGGTCCAATTTTATTATCTGTCCTTCCATATCTTGAAGAGCAGTAGATCACAGCTATGGAGTGAAGAATGTTTGCATTAATTCAGCATTCATATGAGGAAAATGAATAGAACTAACATAAATTCCTACACATTCAACATAGAATACCCTTGGTGAAAATTTTAGTTTAACCATATACATATGTCATCCTTCTTAGCTATGTCTCAACATTCTGGAACATAATTTACAGATGGGGATAGTGAGGAGTATCAATGAAAGCAACATAACAGGATTCATCCTTTTGGGCTTTTCTGATCATCCTCAGTTACAGAAGATTCTGTTTGGGATAATTTTAATCTTATATTTATTAACTATATTTGGTAACACTGCCATTATCCTGGTATCTCGTCTGGAAACCAAACTTCACACACCCATGTATTTCTTCCTTTCTCATCTCTCCTTCCTGGACCTTTGCTTCACTAGTAGTGTTATTCCTCAGCTCTTGGTCAACCTTTGGTTTCCCAGGAAGATCATTACCTATGGTGGCTGCGTCGTTCAACTCTATGTTTCCCTTGCACTGGGATCCACTGAGTGTGTCCTCCTGGCAGTGATGTCCTATGATCGCTATGTTGCTGTTTGCCGTCCCCTTCACTACACTGTCTTGATGCATCCTCGCCTCTGCATGACCTTGGCTTCTATAGCCTGGCTCAGTGGAGTGGCCACCACCCTAGTACAGTCCACTCTAACCCTGCAGCTGCCCTTCTGTGGCCATCGTCAAGTTGATCATTTTATCTGTGAGGTTCCTGTGCTCATCAGGTTGGCCTGTGTGGACACCACTTTCAATGAGGCTGAACTTTTTGTGGCAAGTATCCTCTTCCTTATCGTGCCTGTCTCATTCATCCTGGTTTCCTATGGCTACATTGCCCAAGCAGTTTTGAGGATCAAGTCAACTAGTGGTCGACAGAAAGCTTTTGGGACCTGTTCCTCCCA